TGTGAGTTCAAGCCCCAAGTTGGGCTCCACACTGTCAGTGTGGAGCCCATTTGGGATTCTCTCTCTCCCTCTCTCTCTCTGCCCCTTGTGCACTCTCTCTCTCTCTCTCTCTCTCTCTCTCTCAAAATAAATAAATAAACTTAAAAAAAAGAAACAGCAGAACTGAGGGGCACCTGGTAGATCAGTGAGTTAAGCATCCGACCCTTGATTTCAGCTCAGGTCATGATCTAATTGTTTGTGAGATCGAGCCCCATGTCAGGCCCTCTCTATGCTAACAGCACAGAGTCTGCTTGGGATTCTCTCTCTCCCTCTCACTCTGCCCCACCCCTGCTCATGCTTTCTCTCAAAATAAATAAAGAAACTTAAAAAAAGAAGGAGAACTTAGCCCATCCAAAACATCCACACGTTGAAAGACACTTACTTGTGAGCCCAAATAAATCTGAGAGCTGACATGAAAGTTACCTCAAATATAATCAGCATGTAGACCCCAGCAAGGATGACCACAGCAATGATCACTTGTGCTTCTATGCTTGCACGGAGATACTGATGAGCCATCAGAAGAGGAACAGCCTGGGTCTGCTGGACAGAGGCTCGAATGCTGATAGAAACAGTATCTCTGTAGAATGAAGCAAAGATATTACCATTAGTAAAGGAAACCAGACCCTATGTCAGCAATTAGTGCTTGTTTCCTTGGTGTCCTTCCCAACACAAGTTATCTATGGCCATAATGAGAGCCCAAATTAATCTCAGAGTGATTTAGCCCAATTACTGACCTGGCAGACAAGGAGCTCTGAGGGTATATATGAGTAGTGTGAGATGCAGACACAGCCTCCCTGTGGTCAGATCCATCTAATGTAGATCCCTCAGCCTCCACCTGCCAGTATCTGCTTCATGGCAGGTGCCACCCCAACAATTAACAAGGAGCAGGAACTTTCACATTGGTTCTAGCCATTTAAAATTAAAATTCTCTTTCTCTTCATCACACACTGACTGCTTTACCTGCTAACAAATAGCAAAGCCAACCATTCTCACATGACAGTGATTTGGAAAAGGGCCACATGTAACCTGAGAATATATAGATGGGTTGTCACAGATGATGGGGGAAAGTACCTGGAATAATAAGCATCCAAATAATTAACAGTATGTGGCATGGTGAAACTAAAGCATTTTTCTAAAAGTTTGGTCAGCAACTGTTGTGAGCCAAACTGTGTCCTCCCAAAATATAGATGTTGACACCCTAACCCTCAATACTTCATAATATGACTATATTTGGAGACTGAGTCTCTATAGGAGTAATTAAGTTAAAATAAGGTCACTAGTGTGGTCCCTAATCCAGTATGACTGGTATCCTTATAAGAAGGGATAGGGACAGACACAAACACAGAAAAGACCATGTGAAAACACAGGAAGTAGAAGGCATTGTCAAACCAAGGAGAGGGGCCTCTGAAAAGACAAACTCTGCTGAACCCTTGAGGAAATAAATTTCTACTTTTTAATTTAAGCAGTCTGTGGTATTTGTTATGACAGGACTAGCAAACTCCTACAGACATAATATGGAGTGGCATTAAAGAAAAAGAGAAAGAATCCGAAAATTTCCTGGAATTCTCCATTGTAGAGCTTCATAATATTAATGACTATAAAATCAACTATAAAATACCATTTGCTTCAAAATGGACCCTGAAATCAATCCTCATTTCCTGACACTTGTGGTTATGATGCCCTCCTACATCCCTCATGTTCACAGTCTCCCCAGTTAGAGCATCCCATCCAAGTCATATAATTGATCTGGCTATTCGTACCAAAAATTTGAGTCTCACAGGTCAAACTTTTTAGTGAGCATGTCTCAGAGGACCTTCCCTCAAGATCTTTGATCACCTGAGACCCACCTGCTCAGTATCTCAAAGGTCCTGCTCACCACCAAGCGCTCACTTCTTCTCGGATTTAAAAATACAGTCCAATTCTGAGTGACCTGTAAAAGTTGAAATGTAATATCACAGTAAGGCTTTGAACCATCACCTGGGATTCAGTGTTATTCAGTGTACATGTTTGTTTATAATAAGGAGAAAAAGAGGAACAGCAAGGACTTTTTACACAACTCCCAAATCCCTGACACTAGAGCATATCCAAGTTGTATGGAACTGGAAATTTCTACATTATGAAGGGCCTTAAAAAAAAAAGAATACAAAAGTACACACATAGAATTAGTATAAAAGATACAAAGGTATAGATGTCAAAATGATTTATTATGAGGAAAATAAATCACTGCACTTTATGGGAGACTTGGAATCTTCTGAGCCCTCTGAGGCAACTCATGAAAATGCTTACTTACAACTGCCTCCTGCTTGCAAACTAGAGACAAGTCTCCACACCCATGTCACAGGAGCACATGAGAGGCAGGATCCAAGGATGAAGCTCCTTTGCTGTGGGCAAATCCACCCCACATCTTCCTGTCCCAAGCAGGGTAGTAGAGGAACCAGCTGAGGGGAGCCAGATATGAGCAGAGAGTGGGGGCTGGCTGGGGCAGCTGAGGGGCCAGGGAAACTTCAATGGGAGGACGGGAGTCTTGCTGCCCAAAAGTCATGAAGTAAATGAAAATAGGAACTCTGAAATTAGTCAAAGCATGAATGAGAGTTCATATGTTCTCTTAAAACACTTCAATATTTGGAAAGAGTATATCAGAAAAAGCCTAGTAGTAAAGGACTTTTGTGTTCCTCATGTTTCTGAGCTGGATTTTTGTGCTGGCACTGGAGCAGAGAAGCTCAGTACAGCCCCATGGGCAGGCAGTTATGTCAGCAGGCTGCAAAGGGTCACATCTTCTTCCACACAAGACTCACAGACAGAGCAGACAGATGTGTGCCCACCTTGTCTTTACTGAGAAGCCGCTGCCATCAGGCTGTGCATTGCACACAAGGAAGCCAAGTGTACGTCCTAAGACCACGACCAAGGCAACACTTTTAGAACACTGGTGCTGCATAGACCATCACCCATGAAACTGCAGCTTAATTAATAATGATGCCTTTGCTCTGTGGACCCTGCTCTGCATGGCAGGAAAATAAGAGGGTGCAGTAACCCATCAGACACTCTGTTTTGGATGACACAGCATTGTGCAACAGCAGGGTTTCCTTCTCTGGATTATAATAGGAAAACCCCATGAACTTCATACACAAGTCACCATAATAATCCCAGGGAGTTATCAGGACTTGGGATATAGGTCAGGATGCCCAGAGAGGGGCCAGGCCTTGTCTGGGCTCTGGGCCATGGTGACAACACCACTGCTGACCTTCCTTGCCTTCAAAGTATGGGAGCTAAAGATGGTCTAGGATACACTAAGTACAAGAGCCTATTGCTTTAGAAGCAGAAGGTTTAGGAAATTATGCAAGTCTTAACTACTTGGTTAAGTGTCCACAAACCCAAAGGAACTGTGGTGTATCTTCTATACCATGAGGTAAGGCCCAAGTTTAATTGTGATTTAACAACAGAAAACTACGTTCAAATATATATTTCCCTGAATTGTCCAATAAAATCATCTGAATAAAAAACTCACAAGCCTGATTTTACTGAAATTGCAAGAGTTTTATAATTATCTTAGACAAAAGGAGAAAAAATAATTGCAAAGACAAAGCAAAAGACAGGGCTTGCCTAAGAATGGTGTCATCAAAAAGAATGAAATCTTGCCATTTGCAACTATGTGGATGGAACTGGAGACTATTATGCTAAGTGAAATTAGTCAGAGAAAGACAAAAATCATATGACTTCACTCATATGAGGACTTTAAGAAACAAAACAGATGAACATAAGGGAAGGGAAACAAAAATAATATAAAAACAGGGAGGGGGACAAAACAGAAGAGGCTCATTAAGTATGGAGAACAAACTGAGGATTACTGGAGGGGTTGTGGGAGGGGGGACGGGCTAAATGGGTAAGGGGCATTAAGGAATCTACTCCTGAAATCATTGTTTCACTATATGCCAACTAATTTGGATGTAAATTTTAAAAAATAAAAAATAAAATTACAAAAAAAAGAATGGTGTCATTGCCTTATGGCTTCCCATAAAATCCACTCAAAAGGAAATCAATTTATGAAGAGATGAAGTGAGTTTTTTCAATTCCTTTTAAGTAAAGTATAAGTGTAACCTGCTGTGGCCGCCGCCGCCTGGAGCCTGGAACATCGGCCTGGGTCACCTCCACCACAACATGTTCTTCTCTTCCAGTATGACTTGGGCCACTGGCCACCAGGGCCCCTTCCAGGTCCACCTGGAGCAGTGTGGAGTCCACATGGCTGGTGAGGTTTGAAGCTGAGGCAAAGTCAAGGTGAACCACAAAGCATGGAAGAGAGGCCTAAAGTGCCCCCACCACCCACTCAGTGAGTACCCTCCTCAGAAGGTGCACACAGAAATGCATATCCAGGATGTTTCCTCCAACTGTACTGCAGCCATTGACCACTCCTTATCTCCTCAGCACCTCACTCCTGACATACACATTGGCTTTACATTGTGTTTTGCCCTGCAGAAATTGCATTTCTGATTGTGTATGTTTCAGGTCCTCTGGTTTAACCTCTAAGTGGTGGTGTCTCCCCATTCTACCCTTATCTCTGCTTCTGCTTTTGCAGCCAGCATAAAACTCCTGCCCAAGTTCCTGGACCCATGGTGAGCTAGTAGACAGGATGGCTGCATGACTGAACAGATACACAGATCAACATCCATGCCCAAATCCTCAGGTGCCAGGTCTCTATTTGTACAATGAGAAATCACAAAGAGAACTTAAAATAAGAATTCTGAAGTCAGCTAAATAAGTGAGAGGAGAGAAATTCCCTCAAAGTGTGTTAAGGGGTCTTGATCAGGGAAGAATTATCAGGAAAAGAGGCTTTTTCCCCACACAAAATATAATTCCCATGGTACTTACTCCCCACTGCAGGCTCGCCCCTTAGCACTTACATCCTGCATTTGGGTGTTGCACAAACATAGGGGTCTGTGCGACTCAGCCCTTCCCTCTCTGTTCTGGGCCAACTCTTGCCTCTGCTGCAAGGTCCTGGGGGACATGACATGGATTTTACAAAGAGGCTGGCCCAGTCATTTTCATCCAGAAGAGAAAATTGTTGTAGGTGGAAAAATGAATCTCAAAATAATTTATGTTTTGTATAAGGCCTCAAAAGTCTTAGCAGAAGCTCACTAGTTGTAGGAAGATTCAGAAACCCTAAAAGAAACAGGTGGTTTATGGAAGAGACTTAGGGAAAAGGTAGAACTTCACTGTTGCCACAGTGTATACAGGATTTGCATTGAGTATTGAGTGCCAGTGAATGGTTAATCCTTTTTCATTATCCATTTCCTCCAGCAAAATATACTAGTTTAAAAAAATTATTATACAAACACATCCTGGTAAAGAAAGCGCTTTATCAGCACTGTCTATAAGACAGCCCAGAATGTGCAGCTGTCCCCAGCACTTGGCTGGAAAGCCTCTCCACATACCTATGCTGCTACTTGGGTTCCATCAAGGACAAATGGAAACAAAAGTCACACATGAGGCAGGATGTACCAACAAAAGGCCCAAAGAGACACTGCTGCTTCTGCCACGCCAAAATTACTCCTGTCCTCGTCTTTCCCCTGATCAAACACAAGATACAGGGTGGGGAGAAATATTTTAGTTCAGAAAGGATTCTAGAGACCTTGCAGAAACCCAGGAGATGGAACAGCACCACCTAGAGGCTAACATTGGAAAAGCAGTGGCTTCTCCCTCAGATTTAAGGAATGTTTGTGGAGCATCTATTGCATACCAAGAAATAAATGAATAAAAACCTGGGGGTTAAGGGGCATCTCATGACCTCTTGAGGAGACAACCATATAACAAATCACCCTGTGATTAACTAATCACATGGAGCGCACACAAAACCACATAGACACAGGACCACATTTACTTCCACCCTTCCTTTCCTCTGTCTTTCTACATGCCCACCATGTACTTAGGATTCAAAGCCCACTGAGATGCTCTGGCATCATCTGTGACTTCCAGATCACAGAAAACAGGAGCCTCTAATCAAGCCTCATCCCTGCAGGCAGCTTTGATCCTTGACTTGCAGATATATTGAACTATCTGCCATTCTCCTAACACATAGTACCCTGCCTTTGCTTCAAATGCCTTCTCCAAGTATGAAGAACTTCTGCCATCTTTTGAGATCTCACTCAAGCTCTCCACTCCTCTCTTAAAATCTTTGCTTGTCATCTACGACTCCAGTGGATCCTCTGTAGATTTGACTCATGCCATATTGCAGTTTAAGATTTTTCTTCCCAACTGGTCTCGCTCCTCAAGAAAAGTATCTGCATCTTATTCATTTTTCTACTTCTCTGGAGACTAATTTAGTTCTCACCACATTAGACGCCCCCCAAAATACTTATTTTACCAATAAATATTTGTTTACAGCATCATCCTTGAAGTCCTCCAAACATAGACCAGAGTCCCTGCTGGGGGCGGGCAATAGAGAAGTCAGAGAGAAATTGCATCCTTCCTCTGACTGCATCAAAGAAGTCTCCTGCCTTTCCCATTACCCAAATCAAAGCCATTTTTCATGACCTAACTTGACATGTCTTCCATGAACCTTCTTCCTACTCTGTGAGCCCCCTAGACCTCCCTCCACTGAGTTCCTGGTTAAGCATCTTCCTGTTGTCCTCTGAGTGTGACCATTGACTCTGCACTGGTTGTCCAAGTGTGGGCAACTGTCCTAGAGGTGTATGTATGGTGGGGAGAAAGACACATAAAACACTTCTGAACAACAGGCAATGTGCTGCTGCTGGACATGGAACAAATCCACAATAGCCTGAAGAGAGGCCTTCATTTCTGCCTAAACTGTAGAGTCCCCTTGGATTTACCCTTAAGTTTGCTACAGTGCCTATCAAATGCCAGGCTCATTAACACTGGCCAGGACTTCCTCCTTGACCAAACTTGAGTCGGGCTCCTCTGAGCCCTCTTCTTGATTAGTCCTCAACTTTGGCCTGGTGAGCCCAGTTTATTGAGAATCCCTTCTCTCCTCATACACAACCAAGTTCCCCTTGGTAATTTTCCATCCTCACCCTCATCCTACTGTAGATTCCTAGCTTCCCCTGTTGTATTTGGAGTTGAGTTCAATCTCCCCGCCCCCCCCTACCATTGTCAATAGTCTTAAATAAAGTCTTCCTTACTGTTTAACTTATGCAATTTTTCTTTGACACAACTCTTGCTTAGTTGAACTGAGGTAAGAAAGTGGGGACCCTTTGGACCCATCTTCATGATAAAAATGGGAGCAATGTCATTTGATAAAGTACGAAACTTTTAAGATTGATCAATTCAATAAAAATAAATCTATCTAGTGCCAATGTATTTTCTCCAGTGTTTGGGACCAAATGGATGAATGATTGCCCTTAATTTCTAGACTGGTACTGACCAATCAAATTCTATGTGGTGATAGGAATGTTTTATATCTATGCTGCCTGATATGGTAGCCACAAATCACATTTGACTATTATGCATTTGAAATATGGCTGGTGTGAATGAGGTAGTGAAACTTTAATGTTATTTACTCCATTAACATAAATTTAAATTTAAAGAGCCACTAGTGGCTAGTGGCTAGTGGTTACCATATTGGAGAACATAATTATGAGGTAGTATAAGGAGCTTAGGATGTAAGAGAGGAAGAACAGGAGGGGACAAAATCCTTTAATGTGTATAGTGTTTCCTTTATGTACTTTGGGAGCCCAGATCTACTATGAAGGGTGTGATGGAAAATGGACCATATGTCAAGAAACAAAGAAAAATAATAGAAGGGAGGAGGGAGAGAAGAAAAGGAGGAAGGCCAGTGAACAAGCCTAATTAAGCTGCTTATATTTAACCTGGCTTGCTGACCATTATTCACCTAATGACCTGGGAGCCTCAAACATGTCTCCCCCATAATAAGCACAGAAAACAACTCAGGGAAAAAGAACCTCAGGTGCCTGCAATCACAGTCATTTCCTGTTTCACAAAGCTTCTAAAATAACCCCTACAATTACTGAGGTGACAAAGCCTGATTGTTACAAAGAAAACCTCATAGGAGAAAAGGTAGCTTCGTTATTCTCCAGTTAATGCATACGGGAGCTTTCTCCAAGATCACTTCCCACTAAAACACACACCCCTAGTGTCTGTCATCCAGGCCTCTTACTCAGCTCGGTCCATCCAGGGGTCTGGCCAGAAGTCAACAAGGAAGAACAATGGGGTTCTTCACTAATGAGAACAACAATGAGAACACCACTACTGACTTTCAAAATCAGGCCAGAATCACTGCCTGCCTCAGACCTGCACAATAACACCCCTTTGCTGAGAATCACCTTCAAAGGTCCAAACTCTGGTGCACAAGCTAGCTTTTCCCCAGTCTGCCCCCACCTTTTGTAGATACCATCAGCAGTTGGCTCTCTGGGGACATTTGAGGGAGACCTGTGACCTCTGATCTCTCCTTTCACAACCCCCCTCAGGAAGTTCTCAGCCTAGGGTCCTTGAAGAAGGTCTGTGAGCTTCCAGAAACATATGGGAAATCTATTATGTTTTCTGAGGAACCCACAAGAAGCTTAAATCAGCCTTAATTAGGGTTAATGATTGACAGAGTGAGTCTCTTTTTGACCAAACTTTAGTCATGCACCTTTGAACTCTCTTCTCTAAGACTAAGCTGTGACTTTGGGGGTTCTGTGTTTATCTCTGCATTGTCCAGTTTTAGCAAGAATCCTGGTAGGTTAATTTAGTCAGAATCTGCATTCCCCATATCTGATCACACTCAATATCTGATCAGGTTCCTCATGCCCCACCATCCTTAATTGATATCTGATCACTCTGGCCGGCCTACAGCAAGAATCCAGTGAGGTCAGCTTGGCCAGAGTCTCCTCTCACCCCTGATGCTTCCTCTTGGTAGTTTTTCATCCACTGCCCCCCACCCTGTTCCTTAGTTTTAAAGTCCCGGTTTTCAAGTTCAATCCCTCTCCCACACTGCAGTGGTCTCTACAACTATCACTACGTTTCTGAATAAAGTCTGACTTGCCATCCTTCACAAATGTCACTAAACATATAAGAGCCACTCTGCAGCATCCCTACCATCTCACACAGCTCTCTCTATCCCTTCCACTTCTCTTCTGTCTTCACCCAAATATACACGCTGCTCAGAGAACAGAAGAGAGACCTCCCCAGTTGCCCTTGCTGCCAGGAGAAACCATTTTTGCCTGCCAGCAACCAGGATGGGCCTAGGCTCATTCAAGTCCCAGGAAAGGCCTAGTGTACTTGGGCTGCTTTGGAAGAAAGACTGTGCACAATGCTGTAGAATAAAAGTGACAAGGTACATTTCTTGGTGGGATGAATAGAGGACTCTTATTTGTTATTATCTGATTTTATCCTGTTATATCCTTACTTATGCTTACTTATGATTTCTACTAACTGCTAAGGTTCATACAGGAGTTGCCACAGTACAGTAATAACCCAGATTCTCCAAAATATTTCCCTCTTCCTATCTGGTTCTCACTGAAGACTGTTTCTGGACAGTATTCAGCCCTTCACTCCAAGCTCTTGGGTCAGCCTGGGCAGCAGGTTATGATCACCTACAGTGAAGTCCCATGAAGGGAAGGCAGCATCTATCTTATAGGGACATCATGAAGCCAGGCCTCCACACCTTTCTTTGAGAAGGCTCCAGGAGGAGCTGAGGAAAACAGAAGGATATCTTAGTTTTGTTTAATGGAGATGATATAGAGGTAAGACATATGAATGAAAAACAAAGCTCATAAAAATCACAGAGCTTTCCAATTCTCTCACAGGGATATACATCTTTACCTAAAACTCAGACACATTTTTAAAGTGGTGAAGCAAACATCAAGACTTTAGCAAGCCCTTAGATGGACAACAGAGCTACCCTGTCCTGAGAGCAGGTACAGATGAGTGCTCTCATTTATTAAAGGGCAGGGATGCACCATGCACTGCTCACCAGAGCCATCTCATGAGCCCACCTGAAGGCCTCAAGTGCCCGGTCTTTCTGGAATGTTGCTGATACCCTGTGGGTGAAGAGTGGCTCAGCTGAGTGAGAGGATATTCTGGGGAACTCCCCAGAAGAACTAGAAGAAACAATAATATGTGATAGCTTTTGGTGACTGCAAGGAAAATTATCCAATTTCCTAAAATTTCAGTGCACCCAGCTTATCAATTGAAGATACAAGGAAAAAAACTCCATGTAGCTCTATGCATGATTTAATTCCTTTTAAAAGGCAATAATCAGAAAATAAAAGGTAATTATCATAAATACTTGAAATGGACACATCTGCCTCCTCTTCTCCCTCCTCCTCCACCACCCTCCTCCTCCACCTGCTTCCTCTTCCTCCCCACTCCTTTCTCCTCCTTGCCCTCTTCTCCTCCTTTGTTTGCTTTCCAAGATGTCCCTTCCTCAGGACCTACCACTAACCCTACTGCTCTAAGAAGGACTGGGAACTTTAGGGGATTTCATACTTCAATATCCTAATTCCAATGTCCATTCTAAGAGAGGGTGTGGGCTCTGGACTTCCAGTTTCATTTGGGATACATAAAGAGCTAGAAACACACCAATCCCACTCTCACAACCAGAAAACAGGGAACAAATGTTAAGTTAATGGCTTATTCTATCAAGAATGAGGCTGCATCACAACACCTAACTTGAAATCTAGAGTAAGGCAGGTGAATGTGGGGAGGAACAGGGCCAAGCATTGCTTCCCTGAGACAGGTGCTACCACCACATACAGAAGCAGGCAAGATTAAATCAGAAAATTTTTAAACAGCTCAAGGTCAAGTGTGGGCTAGCGTGAGACTTGGGAGGCCCTGGGAGCCACAAAATAGGGGTGTTAGCATCTTCTTGTACAGTTTTGCTCCAGGGACCCTAGCAGGTGCTCACAGGGAAGATATGGAGAGATTGAGAAGACTGGTGGAGAAACCTTAATTTCCTGGGGAAGCACATCAAATCTGGTAGCCTAAGGGCACAATGTAACCCCAGGAGCCAGTAGTGGCAGGAAAGAGGGGAAAGTAACTCTACCCCTCGCAGAGGAGTAGGAACAGTGCACAGCCTAGCAGACAGCTGGAGAGAAGCCAAGCAATTCCAAGTGTCTGGGATATTAGAGGTTACCATGGCAACCACACACTGCAACATAGCCGAACTCTGACTAGATTTACACAGAACCCCAGCTAAAGCCCACAGTGTTATGGATTGAATGCTATGTCCCCCTGCCAAATTCATATGTTGAAGCCTTGACCCCCAGTGTGGCTATGTCTAGAGATGGGGCCTCTAAGGAAGTAACTGAGGTTCAATGAAGTCATACAGTGGGGCCCTGATATGAAAGGATTGTGTCCTTATAAGAACAGCCACCAGAGAATGCTCTTTCTCTCCACATACGTGTGCACATACACACACACACACACACACACACACACACACACACACACACACACACTGAGGAAAGGCCCTGTAGGACATAGGAGGAAGGCAGCCATCTGCCAGCCAGAAAGAGAGCCCTCACCAGAAATCAAATTGGTCAGCACCTTGACTTTGGACGTCCAGCCTCCAGAACTGTGAATGATAAATGTCTGTTACCCCCAGGCTGTGGTATTTTGTTAGGGCAGTCCAAGTTGACTAACACACTCAATATCTATTATCCTATACAACACATCTGGCTTTTATTGACAAACTATGAGGCCTACAAAAAGACACGAGAGAACTTGATTTGAAGAAGCCAAGCAGTCATCAAGCCCAGATGACACAGCCAAAGAAAAGAACCAATGAATTTAAAGAAAGGCCAGTAGAGGGGCACCTGTATGGCTCAGTCAGTTGAGAGTCTGACTCCTGATTTCAGCTCAGATCATGATCTCACAGTCATGAGATCGAGCCCTGCATGGGGCTCCATGCTGAGTGTGGAGCTTGCTTAAGATTATCTCTCTCCCTCCGCCCCTCCCCTGCTCACACACTCGCTCTAAAAAAATAAAAAAGAAAAGAAAGAAAAGAAGAGAAAAGAAAAGGAAAGGAAAGGGAAGAAAAGAAAAGAAAAGAAAAGAAAAGAAAAGAAAAGAAAAGAAAAGAAAAAAGAAAAGAAAAATACAGGTCATTAGAAACCACCTAAGCTGAAATGCAAAAGGAAATGGGTAGGGGTACAAATCAGAGTATCCAAGAGCCCAGGGGAGCCAGGCCCTAACTGGAATGTGCCAGTTGGCTATCATCATCACCCCAGGAGGAATCTCACCACCAGCTATCCATCACAGTCTCACTAGTGCTTCTCTTGTCTTCTGTTCTGGCCTCATGTTTCATCACATGTCCTGCAGTAAGGGGTGCCTGGGTGGCTCGGTCAGTTAAGCAGCAGACTCTTGATTTTGGCTCCGGTCATGGTCTCACGGTTCATGAGATCGAGCCCCACATCAGGCTCCATGCTGACAGTGCACAGAGCCTGCTTCTGATTCTCCCTCTCCCTCTCTCTTTGCCTCTCCCCAGTTTATGTGTGCTCTCTCTCAAAAATAAATAAGTGAACTTTAAAAGAAAATTTTTTAATGTCCTAGAGGAACACAATACTCATGAGAGGAACAGTGATCACCTATGCTGTGACCTTCAGTAACAGTTGTAATAGTTCTCTGGTGTCTCTGTGAATCTCAACCATGGACAACTATCCTTTGCAGTCTACAGACTGGATACAGTAGCTTTGCAGGGGTGACACAGCCAACAACTGCCAGAACTTTCCTTGATCTGGATACAGGCTGAATAAAATCTGTAACAATCAGAAACATTTAATGATAGATTTATAGCAGAAAAACAATAGGATTTAAATAATTTTTATAAAATTTGAAAATATGGGTATGATAATGGTGTTGACTGATGTATCCAATATTCACCAGCTCACTCTAAATAGTTTTTCTTAGATATTAAAATATAAAATTCTGATTCACTATATTATTCTCCACTATAATGGATCTTAACTATTGATATTTGTTGATTTTAAGGATTAACCACCCAGCCACAAAATTAAATCATCAGAGGTAGGTAAACGTGGTTTTCCCATACTGGAGGAAAGGGAACACAACCCACGTGATGGTTAAAGTATGTTTTGTGGAATTCGCAGAGCAGCTTATACCTGATCAGAAAGTACATTGAAGTGATCATAAGATGATTGTTATAGAAGTTCAAAACAAATTCCTCAAATCACCAAAACTTTATCTCCCAGAAGAAGGCTTAAGACTAAACAACATGCTCAGGTCATACCTCCAGAAATCAGTGGGGGAATTGGCCCACCCTTCCTTCTCCTTGAAAATCCCAGTCCCCACCCCACCACCAGCCTTGTTAAACAGCTGGAGCTTCAGAACCACACATTTATGTGAATAGGAAGTAAAGAGGTAACTGGTAGCCAAAAAAGTAAACTCATGAAGTTTTCAGAGTTCAATGTAATTGTTTCTTATTTCATGCATAGACTTCCTTTCTCTGGGCCACTGCTCCCCTCCCTATGGGTTTTTAAAGGGTTGCAGGTATTCAATTCAATTCAGCCAGTATTGACTTCATGCACCACCCTTGCTGCTCAAGATGCAACATTGCTCTCTATATGTCACACTTATAAGAGGAGACTCTTCTCATGCACAATCTTGCACACATACACAGAGCCCCAATATTCATGTCCACAGATACAGATAATGAAAAATAAGTATTCACAGCCACATTTGGTCATGTGAAGTTTCCAGTCATATAGCGTTCAGCATGAGCCATAACCACAGGCTGCCTACATAGAAGAGCCATGGCCACACACATCTTGGAATCTACATTGCACAGTCATGAAAACACCATTCACACACCCCATCCTTGCTCACAATCTCACATGCTGTCACAGCAGCATGCACCAACCACCCACTGGGGTCTTCAGCAATGGTGCACACAAACTATCTTATGTCAATGCTGAAAATTGATACACCCCCAGAATTAAGACCCCAAGCACAGATACAATCTTAAAATGATCACAGACCACAAATGACCCACATGTCCCACACAGGCATTCAGACACACAAACACACAGCCAGACACAGAGGACCTCACACCCACATGTGCACACACAGCCAAGCATGTACACACACATGTGTACACATACAGATATGCACACCTGGGCACAAAGAATCTTACACTCATTTGGCAAAAAAATTTGAACACCTGCAATGTGATTCCAGCGAGGACTACATCAGGATATAAACCACATAAATGCAGAAAGACACCTGACTCTTCCTGTCAGAGGGCATACTCAGGTCACCTCCAGAAACATGGCTCTGCAGTCCCCCCTTAGAATGCATGGGCAAGTGGAATTGGAGAAGCATCCAAGAAAAGGGCAAACAGGGAGCTTCATTCCCTCCCAAACAGGGCAGCCCAGTTAGATGGAGGCCTAGAGCACCATCTCAAAGGGACACTAAACATTCTTGGGGCCACCCGTGATGCTGGACATATCCCAACACAAATAGTTTTATTGCATGTGGTTGAAAACAGAATTGGCAAGCCACTTTGAGGTGGAAAGTTAGACCCAGGGAGTAAGCTAACTGCTTCTATAAAGCAAAGCCAAGTCCCCAGGTCTTCTGTTGTGTCACATGTGGATCACAGCAGTTGAGCATTGCTAAGGGGATGCCTCCCTCACCAACCTCAGCCCACCATCCCACATGCCCTCAGCATCTCCTCCAAAGAAAGTGTGAGCGCCATATCTCAGGTGCCTTGCTACCCAGCCCATGGCACCCCATGGCTCTGCTGACCCATCAGCAGAGCTCTGTGGTACTCACAGAGCACACCACCACAAAGACAAACAGGCTTGCAACTTTCAGCCACCGTATACAGCACCTGTAAGAGAAAAAGTAGGCCCCAAGTCACACCAACAGCAGTCCTATTTGCATCTGTCTAGTCTGCCAAACCTCAGACACCTTTATGAAGCTTTGGGTAATATCAATCTCAAAGCACATGTTAGAAATTCTTTCCATAACATGGTATGAAGGAAAACACTGCTGACCTGTAAATGCATGGCATCATAAAAAGCAGCTTGGTGAAAGTTACAGAGGAGGGCAAAGTTAACGTTGAGTATTTGCATATGTTTCTTTTTTTTTTTTTTTTTTTTTTTTTGCTTTTTTTTTTTGCATATGTTTCTTGCTGGAGATGCTAAAATTCAAATTTGGAGGATCTTCACTAGCATTTTTAAAGGCTGAGTTTCCTGGACACAAGCTTTATCTGGGCTACCAGGCTTGTATTTATCAATTATATTCCCCTAAGTTTTCTGGAAAGTAGGAATGTGGATTTGATCAAAAAACACACTGACTAAGACATAACCAAACAATTCAAAAAAGAAATTGCAGTGCTGTTACTGGTTGTACCAACAGAGTCTTTTAAGAATTTATAATTTAACAATTATAATTTAACAATCAGGCCATGCTGTTGGCCCCCTCTGAGGTCTCCTGACAGTGTCCTGACCCAGTCATCATTATTATATCTTTCTTACCTGTGGTTCTCGGGGCCTAGGTGAATCTGAGTCTCCCCAAGCCTTTAGAGTCCTTTGAGTTCCACCTCTGCTCATATCACATCCCCAGGCCCACTGAATCTCATCTTCTAATGACACTATCACTGCCCAGCCCTGAGGTGTGCTCTCCCACTGGCCGGCCCTCAAGAGCAGGCTCTGGGGTGTTTGTACTCTGTCTCTGTTTGTGGAAGGGCGCTGGTACATGGTCTGTGCTTGACACATGTTTGTAGAATGCAGAAAGTCATGTTGAAACATCTTTTTCAATACCTTTCTGATATTTTCAAAATGGCTAAGTCTTGTTTTGCATTCTCTTAGATTTAATTAATTTAATGAATAATCATTTCACACTTCCAAAATCTGATTCAACAACTCCTTTTTAAATGGAAATCAAAGCTGGAGATATCACAATCCCAGATTTCAAGATATACTACAAAGCTATAGTAATCAAAACAGCATGGTACTGGCACAAAAACAGATCAATGGAACAGAATGGAGACTCCAGAAATAAACCCACACTTACATGGTCAATTAATCTATGACAACTAAGCAAGAATATACCATAAGGAAAAGACAGTCTTTTCAACAAATGGTTCTGGAAAACTGGACAGCTACATGGAAAAGAATGAAACTGGACTACTCTCTGACATTATATACAAAAATAAGCTCAAAATGGATTAAAGATCTAAACGTGAAACCTGAAACACTAAAACCCTAGGAGAGAATATAGGCAGTCATTTCTTTCACACTGGCAATAGCAACAGTTTTCTAGATGTGTCTCTTAAGGCAAGTGAAACAGAAGCAAAAATAAACTACTGGGGATAGAGACAGTGCCAGGGCAAGTGAGAGCCAGATGGGCACTGGGTGACTCTGTGGCTTGCTGAGGAAAATAATTAAACATGGGCAAAGGAGATCCTAAGGAGCCGAGAAGCAAAATGTCATCACATGTATTCTTTGTGCAAACTTGCTGAGAGGAGCACAAGAAGAAGCACCCAGATGTTTCAGTCAACTTCTCAGAATTTTCTAAGAAATGCTCAGAGAGGTGGAAGACCATGCCTGCTAAAGATAAAGGAAAGTTTGAAGACATGGCAAAGGTGGACAAGGCCCGTTATGAAAAAGAAATGAAAACTTAATCCACCCTAAAGGGGAAACAAGAAAGAAGTTCAAGAACCCCAATGCATCCAAGAGGCCTCCTTCGGCCTTTTTCTTGTTTTGTTCTGAGTATCACCCAAAAATCAAAGGAGAACATCCTGGCCTATCCATTGGTGATGTTGCAAAGAAACTGGGAGACATGTGGAATTAACACCACTGCAGATGACAAGCAGCCTTATGAAAAGAAGGCTGCGAAGCTGAAGGAAAAATATGAAAGGGATATTGCTGCATACTGAGCTAAAGGAAATCCTGATACAGCAAAAAATGGAGTCATCAAGGCTGAAAAAAGCAAGAAAAAGAAGGAAGAGGAGGAGGACAAGGAAGATGAGGAGGAGGAAGAGGAGGAAGATGAAGAAGATGAAGATGAAGAAGATAATGATGATGAATAAGTTGGTTCTAGCACAGTTTTTTCTTTCTTGTCTATAAAGAATTTAACCCCCCTGTATACAACTCACTCCTTTTAAAGAAAAAAATTGAAATGTAAGGCTGTGTAGGATTTTTTTTAATCTGTAGAGTGTCTTTTTTTGTATAGTTAACACACTACCTAATGTGTCTTTAGATAGCCCTGTCCTGGTGGTATTTTCAATAGCCACTAACCTTGTCTGGTACAGTATGGGGGTTGTAAATTGGCATGGAAATTTATTTTTTTTTAATTTTTTTTAACGTTTATTTATTTTTGAGACAGAGAGAGACAGAGCATGAACAGGGGAGGAGGAGAGAGAGAGGGAGACACAGAATCTGAAACAGGCTCCAGGCTCTGAGCTGTCTGCACAGAGCCCAACGCGGGGCTCGAACCCACGGACCGTGAGATCATGACCTGAGCTGAAGTCGGACGCTTAACCGACCAAGCCACCCAGGCGCCCCTGGCATGGAAATTTAAAGCAGGTTCTTGTTTGTGCACAGCACAAATTAGTTATATATGGGAATGGTAGTTTTTTCATCTTCAGTTGTCTCTGATGCAGCTTAGTTGTTATGTTAACTGAATACCACTCTGTAGTTGCAAAAAAAAAAAAAATTTGCAGCTGTTTTGTTGACATTCTGAATGCTTCTAAATAAATACAATTTTTTAATTAGTATTGTTGTCCTTTTCATACGTCTGAAATTTTTCTCCTTGAGGGGAAGTTAGACTTTTGCTTTTGCCCATTTTGGATCAATGGGTTATTACAGTGTTTATCTTTTCATACAGTTAGCTGATAAAAAGTTTTGTCTACACCCTGCATACTCATGATGAGGGTAATAAAGTTTAATTGAGATAGTTTTCATCCATAACTAAAACTCCAGTCTTGATCAGTTGATACAGATTTCACATAGCCCAGTCACATATATAAAGTGAAGAGTAATCAGTCTATTCACAGCATGGGATTAGTAGAATCAAACATTTTGAAAGTCTGTCCTTGAAGGACTAAGAGAAAAGTATGTTCTAATCTTTACATGAGGACTCTACATTCTTTAACACCCATTACCATGTAATGGCAGTTATATTTGCAGTTCCCACATTAAAGAAGACCTGAGAATGTATCCCCAAAAGTGTGAGCTTAAAATACAAGACTGCCATATTAAATTTTTTGTTGACATTAGGCCCAGAAAAGGCTCTGGAAAAAAAAAAGTGCTGGCTGTAAATGTCTTCTCCTATTTATCTAAATATGGATTTCTTAGGAAACTTGACTCTCCATTAAAGGTATTTTTAATTAATTGGACCAACTTCTAAAATGTATACCACACTTAAAATCTGGTATATTTTCCTATATTGTAGTTTGCTCCTTTATATAAATCAAAGAGGCCTGAGGGAAGAACACATTGAAAACTTTGTATTTCAGTAGGAGCTATTGGATTTGAATTTGATTTTTCTTTACGAAACCCAAACTCATTCATTAGAGTCATGTTTATCTACTTAGCAGTTTAGGGAACAATTTGGCAATTTTGTGGTTTTTGAGATTATAGTTCTCTTAAAGTGCCAGTGTTTTAAAATAGCATTCTTGTAATTGTACACAATTTTGTGATGGAGTGATGTTTTGTTATATAATTTTGACTTGGATACTTTCCATTTGCATTTGTTTATGTAATTTCAGTAGGAATACTGAATATCTGAGTCCTGGATGACACTAATAAACTAATAATTGCAGAGGTTTTTAAAAAATCTAAAAAAAATAAAAATAAACTACTAGGACTACATCAAACTAAAAAGCTTCTGCACAGTGAAGGAAACCACCAACAAAACAGAAAGCAACATACTGAAAGGGAAAAAACCTTAGCAAATGATATATCTGATAAGGGGTTAATATCCAAAATATAGGAAGAACTTATATAACTCAACACACACACATGCACACACACACACACACACACAAACATACACATACACACACACACACACAAATCCAATTAAAAAATGGACAGAGGACCTAAATAGATATTTCTCCAAAGAAGACATACAGATGGCCAACATATTCATGAAAAGGTTCTCAGTATCACTAAATCACTAATCATCAGGGAATTACAAATCAAAACCACTTTAAGATATCGAAGAAGATATCACTATATACCTGTCAGAATGGCAAAAATGAAAAAGACAAGAAATAAAAAGGTGTTGATAAGGATGTGGAGAAAAATGAACCCTCATGCACTATTGGTGGAAATGTAAATTAGTGCAGCCATTGTGGAAAACAGTATGGAGATTCCTCAAAAAAATTAAAAATAGAAATACCATATGATCCAATAATTCCACTGCTGGGTGTTTACCCAAAGAAAACAAAAACATTAATTCAAAAATATATATGCACCCTTATGTTTATTGTAGCATTATTTACAATAGCCAAGATATGGAAGCAGCCCAAGTGTCCTTCAATAAATGAAAGGATATAAAATATGTGGTGCATGTGTATGTGTATTTATATTTACATAGAATAGAATATTACTTAGCCATAAAAAAGGAAAAGATCTTGCCATCAGTGACAATATGGATGGACCTAGAAGATATTATGCTAAGTGAAATTAGTCAAAAAGAGAAAGACAAATACTATTTGATTTTACTCACATATGAAATCTAAAAAACAAAACAAATGAATAAACTAAAAGCAGACTCAGACCTATAAATACAGATGGTTTCCAGAGAGGAGGGAGGTTGAGGGATGGGCAAAAGGGGTGAAGGGGAGGAGGAAATACAGTCTTCCAGTTATAGAATGAACAAAACACAGGAATAAAAAAAGTACAGCATAGTACTGAATATAGTCCGTGGTATTTTAAGAGTGTTGCATGGTGACAGATGGTAGCTACACTTATGTTGAGAGTAGGATGACATAGACAGTTGCTGAAACACTGTTCTGTATATCTAAAAATAAAATATTATATGTCAACTATACTCAAATTTAAAAAATAGTAATAAATGCGAATCAAAATGATAGTTTTTTAAAGAAAGAGGCATTATTCTAAAAACATTTTTCTACATAACTGACATATACAGCAGAGTTGACAAACCAAAATGTTTTCAAAGTTTCTTTAATGATCATACATGGTACTTTTTAGACCTGTTAAAAAGAATAGCACTAAAATTTTTAGTTCAGTGGCAAGCTCAATGAAACTATTCTATGAATCCTAGAATATAGAGCAATTACAGAAAGTAAAGTTTAATTTTTCCATGGTACAGGACAGTTGAAGAACCTGGCATCCTCTGGAGCTGTGAACAAACCAGTTGAGGAAGGATTTCAGGGCTTACTGTCCTGGTAGCCCATGGGACCAGATCCCTATTCACACACTTTCACACTATTCACATAATTTCATAGCAGATTCTATGGCCAAATATTTATCATATCTATGCAGACAGCTGAGACCAGTCATCATGAAAAAAGCTATACATGGCTGGGGAGCATGCTGGGAAATGATATCTCCATAGTCAAGCACAAATGGGGAATGTGGGGTAACATCCCTGCATACCCACCTCAGCTTACAAGTTGCATGACCCTGGGCAAAATCCTTAACCTCCATGAAGTCCCCTTTCTTCATCTATCTCTCAAGATTGCTAGGAAGATCAATAGAATAATTGATAGTGGGCCTCTCTGGGAACAGTCAAGTGTACTTTGGCCGTACAGATAGGTACACTTGTAATCAGCCCTTCAAATAGCTTCAGAAAAGACAGTTCCCCTAATGTAGACAAATAATAACACTAGTGTCTGATATCTACATAGTGTCTTCTCACCTATCAGTGAGGTTTCCCACAGACCATCTTAGCAGAAGCCCACACAGGCTTCTGCTGTAGTGAGGGAGACTCAAGGTTGAAAAGGAGACAGTTGCACAGAGGTATCTGACTCTGCTGGTCCCTCAGCTACCTCAGAACATATCTGGAATGAGAACCTGATTACCAGGGTCCCCAAGCCTTATTCTGTCCCTGGAGATGCCACTTTCAAACATGTTGGTCTCAACATGAAATTTCCTTTAAATAAATGTACCTATGGAAGCCCAGAAAACAAAGCAGGGAGAGTAAAGGTGCTCCAGCAATAGTTGGCCAGCTTGCATAGTCCTCTACAATGCTCTCAGCCCTCCCACACATATGCATGCCTAAGACCTCCTACACATGCATGAGCACAGCCTTTCCACCACTACTACCACCAACCCCTTTCCTCACATGTGCGCAGTCTCAGGCTCCCAACTCACACCCAGCCCAACAACACAGTTTCCTGAAAGATGCACCCAACCTTTTTAATAACATGCTTTATCACTAACTTCAAGGGATCATATCAGCTTCTAAAACACCATGAGGACTGCTGAAGTGAACTGATTCCATCTGCAAACCTCAAGGTCATGAAGACCCCTGAATCACAAACAGGAAGGAGTGTAGGATGTTAGTCATTTAGGTTTGTAATTGGGCCGTCTTATAGCCTCACAGATCCATGCCAATTAGCAGTGTCACCTTACATATCTTCCAGGAACTGGAGAAAAGGTTAAAAATCTTCCAGGAAAAGTGCAGCCTGGACAAATATGAAAACCCTTCCTCCTCATCTTCACTCTGCCACTTGGGAAGGATGTAGTGAGGGTGAGACACCCCCCCACCACAGTTCAGTCCCAGACAAATGGGATGCTCTGTACAACCAGCACCCTGTTCCAGTGCTAGCACTTAAAGTCTCCCTACCTCAGTTTCAAAAGACGGGACCTGATGTGAGCACTGTCCAGAAGCTCCCCTTTCTCTTGGGAGGCAGATCCAGAGGAACCAGCCAAGTCTTTGCTCAGCAGAGATCCTCCATCCCACTCAGCTGAGCTGTTCCCCCAAGATTCTTCAGCAGTGATAAACTCTGGATGGCAAATAGGCATGCCCCATGACCTGGAAAGCAAGACTTTGTAGTTATTTTCACAGAAATAGTAGCATCTCCAAAACAAGATTTCATTTCAGTGGTGAGTGTGAAATGTGGAATCAATTCTAGTTTTTAAAAGGACCACAGACATTTTAGTGCTGTCCAACTAGTAGAAATATGTCTTTCTTGACATCATAGGACACTTATCTTAAGGAAAATCATTTGGGGTAACTCAAGTCTTCAAAATGAATTGTGGACTTTCAAGAAACATCAGTTTGTTCTGAATTTGGAACTTTACAATAAAGCTATTTCTGTCTCAGACCAGCTCCAGCTCATTTTGGTAATTGCTTTCTCTTTGATTATGTTGCAATTCTCAATACCTAGTTGTTATACTTGTCCTATTGCAGAGTGAGTGGTGTAAACCTTTCCTCTTCTATATAGTTATCTTTCTATAATAGAGCTATAGGGAAGATGATCTATCTGGCTTTTCCACCCAGCCTGTACATGAGCATGAGCAGGAGTGGAGAACATTAGTGTTGGACTAGATGATCCCAAGGATGGAACCTATATCTAGAAGGATGATTCAAGAGGAATCACAAACTTTTCTCAAAATTACATGTAGACATATCCACTGACTTTTAGTTGAATCTTTGGGCTTCTGAACAACCTGCTCAGTACAGATGTACTTGAGTCTAATGAGGTTGCATCAAAGCCCAGTGTTTTCATGTATTGCTTGGAATACTCATTGGATCACAATATTGCCATAAAAGGCCATGAACTTAGAAACAAATGATGGCTCTCAAGCCCAGCTAGCTCTACAGGACATTGTGATTCTCCTGAATACCCATAATTGCCTTCAAACTGGTTCACAACAAGAAAAAAAGTAGTCTTATTCATACTGAGAAGCCCAAAGATGCAAATTAGGCTGTGTGAAACCAATATGTAACAATAATAAATGATGATGACAGTGCTACAAACTAATCAATACTGAAAATATACAGTTTGTGATCAGGAAATACTCATGTGTAAGGAATAATATCACAACCCCCCCACCCCCAGCTGGTGAACAAATACAACTGTAACCAAAATTGGAACTAAGGAAACTTCTTTTAGAAGCGGCAACAGGGCAGCTAACGTCAGTATTTCTAGAACAATGCTGTACAATACAACTTTCTATGGTGGATAGGAGTGTTCTCTGCCCTATCCAGTAAGGTAGTCACACATGTTCATTGGTCACTGAAAGTATGTAACTGAAGAACTGAATTTTTTATTTTATTTAATTTTAATTAATTTGACTTTGAATAACACCTTGATGCATGGTAACTATGCTGGTCAGTGCAGATGCAGAGCATGCTCTGACCCTTGTACCATCAGCTGCACATACCTGCCTTCAAACCCCTGAAAAAAAGGGAAACAAAACCTGACTCATGTTCTGCTCCTCTGAAGTGGTTTTGTGACATGAGGCACAGCTTGGCATCCCAGAGCATGTTTCTGCACTCCATATGCCCAGTACAAATGCTGCACATTATGCTTTTCCAATGAAACATGGGTTATAAAATAATGTTAATGGTTTACCAAGTAATTCAAAGGAAAACATTAAGGGAATCAATGTATGAAGTGTTTGTTTTCAAAGTTATTTATTAGGAGAAATGAAGAAAAAATAAGTTATCTTCCTGGTTTCAGGGACTGTGCTGGACACTGGGATGTAAGATGAAGACACAGGCTGGTAGGCATAACCATGGAACATATGGGCATATTCTGAAGTATAGGCATAAATGTGGTATTGAGAGCTCAGAAGAGGCATTAACCCTTGAGGGAGTTGGTGGGGAGATGGGGGGGACCAATGTTTCATAAAAGAGGTGACACTTGAGCCCCTTTGAAGTTGAATGAGACTGCCCTGGAGAGCCAGAAGGAGAGGAGGATCCTCTAGTCAAAGGGCTCAGTGGGAACCTTTTAGAGAGACACAGCTTGTCATCAGGAATCTTCTGGAGGAAGCCAGATTGTCTCTGAACTTGGAGGTGATGAATCTACATTCCTACACCCTATCTAAATGGGGTGAGTCTTTGGCAAGTGAGACCAGGAATCCACATGGCATACAAGTACCCAAAATAATTTTGATTTACTCTGTAAAATATGAAGCCCCACCCCCATGCAGACAGGCTGCAGATAAGGCTGGAGAGAGGGTGGGCAGCTCCTCAGAGTCTTGGAGGGAGATGAGTGCAAGTAACACAGCAGCCTGCCTGCTGATGCAAATGCATGGGGTCAGAGGGCAGGAAAGGAAGGGCCCATGACAATGCCAATAAGTTTGTAATGTATAGGGAATCATGGGATACTGAGCAGGTGGTTTGGGCTTCCAAAAGTTGTCCACAAAAGGAAGAAGAGATGAGCTTGGATACCTAGGCCAGGGCCCTTCATTCTAGGGGACAGAGTAAGTTATCCTCCAGATCAGCTCTGCTCAGAGATTTCAGAACCATCATGGTTTGTCCCCAGTAGGACCTTCAAACTTGAAGGAAGTAGAGTTTTCTCTTACATCATACATTTTTAACCTCATTGCTATTGTCATTTGAGCCAGGTAATTCTTGTTGTGGGGAAGTGTTCTGTGTATTGTGGGATGTTTAGCAGCATCCCTGGCCTTTACCCTTAAACATCAATAGTACCCCTTCCCCAGCTGTGACAACAAAAGACATATCTCTGGACAGTATCTTCTTCACCCCCAGTTGACAGCCCTGGCCTGGTAAGATGGCCCATGAGAGCTGTGTACATCATGAATGTGCACATGTATTATTTAATCATTACAGGGTTATGCTCATGGTTATTTGGAAATTCATAAGCCACACAATACAACTACTAGAATCATGAATATTTACTACATTGAATTGACAAAGACCTGGCAGAGACCAAACAACATGTCAGACAAAAATTCATACCTTAGGAAGAAATTTTCTAGCATAAGTGACAAGGGAAATGCTCAGAGATTTCTTAATTTTAGAAGAAGAGAGTGGGGGGAAACTCACCCTTTCTCTTGTGAGGAATTTCCCAGCAAAGGGGTATTTTCTGTAAAGCAGGGGTCTTTTGACCTGGAGTTGGAGAACTGAGGTAAAGAGTGAGACCTGAAAGATATAGTGAAGGAAAAGGCATCACCAACACAAAGACAATGGTAATTGGAGGCTACCTCCAAGAACATGCCTGTGATTCAGTAATCATACAGAAGTTATACCTGAATTGTAAAAAGCAGGAGTTTTAGGAGACACAATTAGAAACAACTCTTCTCCCCAGCATAAACCAGGTTGGAAATGCAAAGCAGAAACTCACATAGAAAACCAGATGCTGTGGGATTGATACTTTTAGGCGTACTTTAGCATTAACAGTAGATTCCAGCCACCTTTGCCATCCCATACAGAGCTTTTCATGGAGAAAACCATTCAGAGTCTGATGGGCCTTTCTATACTTAGAAAATTCTACTTCCTAAGATCACACATTTTAAATATCTTAATGGCTTCCCATAAAATTCCAAGAAGCAGAAGTCAGGGCCCATGGGGTCAAAATGAAATGATAAAATGGCAGGGAGGGGTCTCTCAGGGTTATGCAAGCCACAAATGAAGCAAAGCAAAGGCTCACACTGTGTGAGACCCCCTTCCACTGTTCTGGCCTATACTAGAGGAAAAGCCACCATAAACTTATCCAAATAGGAGCTTTTGATATGGAAATAATTGCACAGGCACAACAGAGCCCACAAGCTGCAGAAATAATTTTCATTCCTAACTGTTGGTAATATGTCATTTTACACACTAGTGCATTTTCTTTCCTAAAGGAAACACAGAGCTGCTGTGGATGCCATGAAACACTCACTCAGGGAAATAATAGTACTTCAGATCATAAATGCAAAACAAAACCAAGAAAAATATTTCCACCCCCTTTCTCCCTCTCATTCAAGCATGCACTTGTGATACAGACAATAAGACTCAGTCTCTTGGATAAATAAGACCAAGGTCCCAAGCTGTGTCTAACAATACCCACCACTCCATGCCAAAGTCAGGAAAGGAGTCTGTCTTGGGCCACCAAGTGTTGTCTGAATGGCACCTCTGGGCAGCCCTGAGCACTTTTAATGGGAAACACAGATGACTGAGGACTCTGTCTGCAGGGGCTTTAACAGCCAGGGAGAAGAGCATGGCAGAGAACAAGGTATAGAATAGATGCCCCAACTAGCAGAGGAAATAAACAAGATAAAAGATTAATTCCATTTGAGGGATTTAATTAGTGCCCTTTAGCTATTCAAACTGGGTTACACTATTAGTTGGGCTTTTAAATTTTTCATGTCTCATAACTGTAAAAGAATAGGGCCTCAGGTACATCTACAGAAATGCTTCAATGAGTCAACTAATATCCAGTGTTTTCTGTTACTCCCTGGGGTGGTTTGTTACATAGCACTTCTGGGAGAGGTGACCATTACAATGACCTCACTCACACTATTTAACCACTCTGAGCTTCCATTTTCTCAGATGTATAATGCGGATAAAAGAAAAAAAACTCACTAAATAAGTCACACTAAATTAGGACATATAAATGGAAAGCATGGGGCTTAGCTATTGATTCAATGATTTCTATTACACTTAGCCTCTTATGAATGGCTGCCATGTCATTTCCATCTTGTTTTATCTGGTACCTTAAGTGGCACCCAGTTCAATGGAAGTGCTTAAATACTTAATAATGAATTACTTAAATCCCATTAGTTGTGGCTTATTTGCATGAGAGGGCTTTTTGACTCCATGAAACAGTTTTCTAAAGCATTAAATCAGTAATGAGCTCAGAATCACCACTGACCCTCTGAAGAGCAGAGAATGCTCAAAAGGGTGATGTGCTATTGCTCCTTGGAAAGTACTACCCACAGGCTGTCAGCACAGCTCACAGTAGAACCACAGTGTGCAATGCTGAGAATTCACCTTGTGGCCATGAAGGAAGAAAATCAAAGTAGGGAAAAGTCAGAAATATATTTGTATTTTCTCTGGTTGGCACATCTGGCTGATTTCATTATTTAACATTTCTAGTGCACTTTGTGTACACATAGTATCTTATAATTGTAGTTAAACATACAGAGAGTAGTTTCTAGGCTTTTGATTATTGAGTTATGATTCTAAAGAGCCAAAAATAAAATGTTTCACTAGTAAATTTTCCATAAATATTTCAGTATATTTCAGAAATTTAAAACTTAATTTCACACTGTCGACACATTATTTTCCATTGTTCCAAGTAAATTTCTTTTTGCAAAGAGGGGAAGCACAGAGAGGCCTTCAGACCCTGTTATTGCAAAGGACCCCTGACCTGCTGTCCTGGAGGATAGAAAACTCACAAACTGCACATAAAAAAGATTCAGGATTTCCCAAGAAACACAAATTCCAGGGTCATTTTGGCTTAATTAAGGTAGAAAATATTGATGAAATATTGATGAAATATTCCTGACCTTTTCTCCTTCTGATAAAAGAAATCTCACTGACATTTTTATGACTTCACATCTAAACCAGGGTGCTTTTAAAATTCACAAAATTCAACAGTATCCATTTTCCCTAGTGACTCAACAACTGTGGATATAAATTTGCAAAATTCATATATGCTTGTAAATTTAAGTGGCCAATACTTATTTGAGTAACTTAGAAACTAAAGAAGAGGATAACAGATAAAATGAGTGTATACAGTTCTGTAATTCAGAGATGCCAGTTGTGAACATTTAAAGACTCTTAACTATAGAGAACAAACTGATGGTTACAAGAGGTGGGGGGGGGGGTGTGAACTAGGTTATGGGGATTAAGGAGTGCACCTTTTGTAAGGAGTACCAGATGATGTGTGGAAGTGTTGAATCACTATCATATACTTGAAACTAATATTACACTGTATGTTAACTATACTGGAATTTATTTTTTTAAGTTTGTTTTTATTTATTTTGAGAGAGATCGAGAGCAAGCAGGGGAGGAACAGAGAGAGAGGGAGACAGAATCCCAAGCAGGCTCCACACCATCAGCGCAGAGCCTGATGTGGGGCTCAAACTCACAAACCATGAGATCATGACCTGAGCCAAAATTAAGAGTCAGACACTTAACTGACTGAGCTACCCAGGCGCCCCAACAGTACTGGAATTTAAATTAAAACTTTTAAAAAATTAAAAATAAAAAACTTCTTTTCAGTTTTTTTCTACATATACATGAATATTTTTAAAGTCAGCTTCAAATATGCATGTGTTCAGACATATATTCAAATATATAAATTGCTTTGTCCTCTCTTCTAATTGTTTAACTTAGCTATGTCACTAGCATTTCTGTTATTAAATATTTTTCTGTAATGTGATTTAAATGTTGGCATCATATTCTATTACATGGATCACCACATAAGGATGTTAACGTGATGGAAATGTTGGAAATTTAGGGAATTTCTACTTCTTACTAATATAAGTAACAAACATTATGAGAGTCCTAGTAGATGTTTTAGTGTGTGCCTCCAAAAGTTCCTAGAAGTGGAGTCACTGGGTCAAGAAGAGTCTTGGTGCCTATGGTCCATAAAGAGCCTGCCCCCTTTACTATGCCTTCCAGTTACAGAAGGGAACAAATCCCTGTCCCCAAAGCCCTGGGTATTAGCCACATTCTAGACCCTTAAGCAGTAAATTTTAAACAGCCAGAATTAATTCAGGTCCACCATTGTCAAGAAACCTTGCTGCATTATTGTTAAGATCTATTTGTGCCAACCTACAAGATGGACAGTGTTGGTAATATATTCTAGCCCTCCCCCATCTATAATAGTTTCCATAGGCCCAGACACCCTAGTTCTTTATAGATCCAAACATTTGGCATTCCTACAGTGCTTATGTCATTTTATTGAGAAAAAAGTATTGAAGAATGTTAAAAATATTGAAGGCCTGATATATTAACACTTCTGAGAAGAGTCACACTTCTAAAGGCCAGACAAGAGACAATGATTAGTACAAAGGACACACTGGAGAGGTAATGGTTTGGTTATCAGTGGTAGAGGAAGAGGTTTTCTCTCAGTCTTTCACAAGCCCTATATCATGTAGGCATTCATCAATGCAGGCACAGAAGCTAGCTCTACCTGACAGGGAACCCAGAGCCAGTAACAAGGAATACAAAATTCTGCTACTGCCTTCATCTATCTCTCCCTCTCTTTCTGACTCTTGTTTCTGTCCTGTTTTCATCCTGGATTCACTGGTCCAAACTACATTTCCAGAAGGGAAAAAGCAAATGAGCAGGCTGGGAAAAGCTGGGTTTGCCATGAAAGTGATCACACAGAAAACAGATAAGTGTGTTCATTGACAAAAAGCAGACCTGAGGAAGGAAAGTGAGCAGGGAAGCTGCCACCTACTCATGTGCCATTTTTCAGAAGGGTTGGGAGGATTCAATAATTCCTCACCTAAATATAGTCAGAGCTTCAGAGAGTCTATCATTGTTCTGCCCAAACAGGGCCAGGCTGCTAAGTTTAATTAACGGCAGAAAGGAGAGCCTATAGCCCAGGCTGCTCAAAAGCAATGTTTGTAATCAGCTGTGAATGAAGAAGCAGGAAACATGAGAGCAGTTTCCCACTTCTTCAGCCTAACACTCCACTAGTTATTTTCTGCAGGATTTAAAAAATAAATTCATAAAAATAATTATAAATCTATGTTACTAGGTACACGATGTATAAAAATGTAATTTGTGATATCAATAACAAACAGGGGCATAACTATATAGAAGTAGAGTTTTTGTATGTAGTTAAGTTGGTATCAATTAAAATTAGGTTGTTACAATTTTAGAACATCATATCTAGTTGTCATGGTAAGCAGAAAGAAAATATTATTAAAATATACACCCAAAACATGAGAATGGAATCAAAACATGTCACTATAAAAAAACAACTAAACACAAAGTAAGGCAGTAATAGAGGAAGGCAGTAATGAGGGAAATAAGACATAAAAAGCTATAATGCATACAGAAAACATAAAACAAAAGGCCAAAAGTAATTCTTCTCGTATGAGTGATCCTTAAATATCAACATATTAAACTCATTAATCAAAAGGCATAGGCTGGCAGAGGGATAAAAACAAAACAAAAAACATGATTCAACTATATGCTGT